ATACATTGCCCAAGTTTCAATAAGATAGTCCAACAAACAAATGAGATACAATTCCTGAGATCAGGAACAAGAGCCCCTCACCAGTGTCAAGGAAACTGTCTGAGGTCTGCTTGCTTATGGAAATTTTGCTCGCGTATGGAAGCAAAAAATTGACTCATAGACTGCTCGTATTTGGAAAAACTCGCACGTGGACACGCTCGCAAGTAGAGGTTCCACTGTATATATATAACTGGGGCCCTGATATTGTAATTATTTCAGGTCAGTTTTTATACTGTATCTTTATATATACTTCTAAACTGTTGTATCTGGGTGCCTCTGCAAAAACAGTGATTATGTATGAGTGACGTGAAAGTGTTGAATGATGATGAAAGTATTTTCGTTTTGGAGATTTTCTTTCTTTTTGGGTTGCCCTGCCTAGGTGGGAGACGGCCAACTTGTTCGAAAAAATAAAAAAATATACCGTAGAGTTTATATTAGTGTCATACTGAAGGACTATCTTGCCCTTTCTCCCAAGATCCTCTCCAAGATACGATACTACGTGCCGCAAAATGCCCTTCTCACACTATACCACTCACTTATTTATCCATACCTCACCTATGCTATTTGTGCTTGGGGATCAACTGCAGCAACACACCTAAAGCCAATAATAACCCAACAAAAAGCTGCAGTAAGAATAATCACTAAATCCCATCCCTGGCAACACACCCCCGCCACTCTTCAAAGATCTAAACTTACTCCCTGTTCAGTACATCCACACTTACTACTGTGCAATCTACATCTACAGGACCTTAAATTCCAATATTAACCTTGACCTAAAATGCTTTCTTGATAGTTGTGACAGAACCCACAGGCATAACACCAGACACAAACATCTCTATGACATTCCCCGTGTCCGACTAAACCTTTACAAAAATTCAATGTATGTCTTAAGAAATCGTAATGACACGATTGCAAATAAACCATACCCCCGGCCGGGATTGAACCCGCGGTCATAGAGTCTCAAAACTCCAGCCCGTCGCGTTAGCCACTAGACCAGCTAGCCACAATAAGATTCATCCAACTAGGTATATTTCTACACCATAGGAAAGTTAGCACAGGCACCTCTGTGACCACAAATGCAAGTTTTTACAGACGAATCTCCAGCTAGCGTGGCCGTGACGAACTCTAGCTCAAGTCCCTTCACTGCCGTCAACATGACTTAAGAAATCGTAATGACACGATTGCAAATAAACCATACCCCCGGCCGGGATTGAACCCGCGGTCATAGAGTCCTCAAAACTCCAGCCCGTCGCGTTAGCCACTAGACCAGCTAGCCACAATAAGATTCATCCAACTAGGTATATTTCTACACCATAGGAAAGTTAGCACAGGCACCTCTGTGACCACAAATGCAAATACAGTTCGTCACGGCCACGCTAGCTGGAGATTCGTCTGTAAAAACTTGCATTTGTGGTCACAGAGGTGCCTGTGCTAACTTTCCTATGGTGTAGAAATATACCTAGTTGATGAATCTTATTGTGGCTAGCTGGTCTAGTGGCTAACGCGACGGGCTGGAGTTTTGAGACTCTATGACCGCGGGTTCAATCCCGGCCGGGGGTATGGTTTATTTGCAATCGTGTCATTACGATTTCTTAAGTCATGTTGACGGCAGTGAAGGGACTTGAGCTAGAGTTCGTCACGGCCACGCTAGCTGGAGATTCGTCTGTAAAAACTTGCATTTGTGGTCACAGAGGTGCCTGTGCTAACTTTCCTATGGTGTAGAAATATACCTAGTTGGATGAATCTTATTGTGGCTAGCTGGTCTAGTGGCTAATGCGACGGGCTGGAGTTTGAGACTCTATGACCGCGGGTTCAATCCCGGCCGGGGGTATGGTTTATTTGCAATCGTGTCATTACGATTTCTTAAGTCATGTTGACGGCAGTGAAGGGACTTGAGCTAGAGTTCGTCACGGCCACGCTAGCTGGAGATTCGTCTGTAAAAACTTGCATTTGTGGTCACAGAGGTGCCTGTGCTAACTTTCCTATGGTGTAGAAATATACCTAGTTGGATGAATCTTATTGTGGCTAGCTGGTCTAGTGGCTAACGCGACGGGCTGGAGTTTTGAGACTCTATGACCGCGGGTTCAATCCCGGCCTGGGGTATGGTTTATTCAATGTATGTCAAAGGCCCTAAAAACTGGAACACCCTACCTGAAAACTCTAGAACTGCAGACACATTCATCACCTTCAAAACTACCATTAGAAAACATCTTATCTCCCTGATACACCCCGTCAACTAATTACACGAATACCACCTGGTGGTTCACACTTACACTCACTCACCCATTTGACCATAAACAGAAATATCAATCTCAATCTTAAAATAATGAATCCTAACTAGTCATAAGTTGGCCTGTGATACTCCAATACTGAAACTATGTATTGTGCCAAAACAAAAGCATTCACATTGCTAAACTCACAAACTAGTATTTAGTCACTTAGCCATAATACCAACTTACCTCATAATTTGTAATATTTTAAATTTAAGAATTAATCTAAGTCTGCCCAAAATGCCTAGCCATGCTAGGTGTTCTAGTGGTACCCTCTGTAATTATTATTTTACTACATGTAAACCACACAATAACCAAATTCTGTAAACTCAGCATTGTAATCCTTATAGAGAATAAACTTTGAATTGAATTGAATTGAGTTGAGTTGAGTTGAACACAATTCCTAACATACACCAGAAAAAGACCTCTCTGGAATACTTTTTTGAGCAACAGAGGACCAGTGACTCTCAAGCTGGTCCTAGTGGCATTAAAAAACAAAGTAGGGAAGTAACCCAGGATAAGGACTTGGTACGTGAAGTCTTTATGGAAGAGGATTCCCCTTCCAAACAATTGTAAACTCCTCCATCCTCTCCCCTCCTCCTGTCTTCCATACATCACCATGTCTTAATAAAGGTAAGTGTGATGTTATTATTGTTTTATTCTTCATGTATCATTGTTTTCTGTGTAGCTAAATGTATATTTCATGTAGAAATTTTTTTTTTAATACTTTTGGGTGTCTGAAACAGATTAATTGGATTTCCATTATTTCTTATGGGGAAAATTAATTCGAAGTAAGTCAGATTCGGGATAAGTCACTCTCTCTGGAACGGATTAATTGCGTAATCCGGGGATCCACTGTATTAATATATATATATATATATATATATATATATATATATATATATATATATATATATATATATATATATAATATATATATATATATATATAAATATATATAAAATATATAAATATATAAATATATAAATATATAAATATATAAATATATAAATATATAAATATATAAATATATAATATATAAATATATAAATATATAATATATAAATATATAAATATATAAATATATATATAAATCTAGGTAGTAGGTTGGTAGACAGCAACCGCCCAGGGAGGTACTACCGTCCTGCCAAGTGAGTGTAAAACGAAAGCCTGTAATTGTTTTACATGATGGTAGGATTGCTGGTGTCTTTTGTCTGTCTCATAAATATGCAAGATTACAGGTAAGTCTTGCTACTTCTATTTACACTTAGGTCACACTAAACATACATGTACAAGCATATATATACACACCCCTCTGGGTTTTCTTCTATTTTCTTTCTAATTCTTGTTCTTGTTTATTTCCTCTTATCTCCATGGGGAAGTGGAACAGAATTCTTCCTCTGTAAGCCATGCGTGTTGTAAGAGGCGACTAAAATGCTGGGAGCAAGGGGCTAGTAACCCCTTCTCCTGTATATATTACTAAATTTAAAAGGAGAAACTTCAGTTTTTTCTTTTGGGCCACCCCACCTCAGTGGGATACGGCTGGTACGTTGAAAGAAGAAGAAGATATATAAATATATATATATATATATATATATATACATATATATATACATATATATATATATATATATATATATATATATATATATATATATATATATCTTTTCTTTCTTTCAACACACCGGCCGTATCCCACCGAGGTGGGGTGGCCCAAAAGGAAAAACAAAAGTTTCTCCTTTTACATTTAGTAATATATACAGGAGAAGAGGTTACTAGCCCCTTGCTCCCGGCATTTTAGTTGCCTCTTACAACACGCATGGCTTACGGAGGAAGAATTCTGTTCCACTTCCCCATGGAGATAAGAGGAAATAAACAAGAATAAGAACTAGAAAGAAAATAGAAGAAAACCCAGAGGGGTGTGTATATATGTGCTTGTACATGTATGTGTAGTGTGACCTAAGTGTAAGTAGAAGTAGCAAGACGTACCTGAAATCTTGCATGTTCTTTCTTTCTTTCAACACACCGGCCGTATCCCACCGAGGTGGGGTGGCCCAAAAGGAAAAACGAAAGTTTCTCCTTTTACATTTAGTAATATATACAGGAGAAGAGGTTACTAGCCCCTTGCTCCCGGCATTTTAGTTGCCTCTTACAACACGCATGGCTTACGGAGGAAGAATTCTGTTCCACTTCCCCATGGAGATAAGAGGAAATAAACAAGAATAAGAACTAGAAAGAAAATAGAAGAAAACCCAGAGGGGTGTGTATATATGTGCTTGTACATGTATGTGTAGTGTGACCTAAGTGTAAGTAGAAGTAGCAAGACGTACCTGAAATCTTGCATGTTCATGAGACAGAAAAAAGGACACCAGCAATCCTACCATCATGTAAAACAATTACAGGCTTTCGTTTTACACTCACTTGGCAGGACGGTAGTACTTCCCTGGGCGGTTGCTGTCTACCAACCTACTACCTAGGTCTTGCATGTTCATGAGACAGAAAAAAGGACACCAGCAATCCTACCATCATGTAAAACAATTACAGGCTTTCGTTTTACACTCACTTGGCAGGACGGTAGTACTTCCCTGGGCGGTTGCTGTCTACCAACCTACTACCTAGGATATATATATATATATATATATATATAGAGTACAGTACCTTAAGTAAATGCACAGAGCCAATGTAACTCACTTGGTAAATGTGGGACTCCATTGAGGCATTGACTACCTGCCCAAGGGCTGGAGTGAATACCTTGGCTCGAGTCATGGTGCGAATATTGTCGGCAAAAGCTTGTAGGTCTGTTTGGGAACCTCTTACCAGGATCACTCGAAGTGGGTGCATTGCCTAAAAGAAATTTTGCATAATAACTGCAAGAAATGTTTGATTAACTTATTATATGCAAATAAATGATACCTTTCTTTGTAGCAATGGATGCTGCTTATCACAAAAATACAAACTCATAATGAATCTGTGAAATATGGAACACACTGGTCCATGTAAAGTGGTAACGTTCAATATTTTTAGTCTTCATTACATAAGACATGGAAATGATAGATTTAATAGTCATATAGATCTTACCAGTATCATATCAAAATGACCAACCAGAGCCACCTTCAGTCTTGCCACAAGATTCTCCAAATCCTGACCTGAGTTTTCTACAGATATGTAAGTGTGGAGACTTTAGAATTCAAAAGGTATAGGTAACTGTGATGTCTATGCACTTATGGCAAGAGTTTTAAATAAATGATGGTGAATGTTTCCCTCTTTGGGAAACCACACTTTGGTGGGAGACCACTAATGTACTAAAACAAATTGAGGATAAGTTTAGTATGACTAGCATGAATGCAATGTTCAGGCCATTTCTACTTAGCAGGGAGATGAAAATATTCACCTTCTATTCTCAAAATATTGAGCTATACTGAATGGATGTTTTTGAATGCATTTATAGTTTTTAGGGACATCATCCATGTAGGAGACAGCTGGTGTGTTAAAAAATAAACTTGCTTCATAGACAGAAAATACTAGAAGGAAATAAACTACATAATGCACTTTAACCATCATAAAAACAGTAATTCATCTCACCTCCACAATCTTACGAATACTCTCTCCATCACTGCGACCCTCAAAGTCAATAAAGAGAACCTGGGCTGCAACTCTTACAGTCACTGTTTGTGCCACACATTTTGATGGAACCTCCTCTATGTCTGAAATGTTGTACATAACAAGAAACTTCACATCTGAAGATAAGTTTGCTAAACATATAGATATATAAAACACCTAAAATAAGTTATCTTTCAAACAAAAAACACATTTATGAATTTACATTCTTTAATCACTTGTTTTCTATAAAGAAACAGTAGCCTGATACAAAATCTTCAACAAATTTCAATAGTTACAAGGCTTTTGATAAAATAAAAAGAGAGAATGACAAAAGTAAAATTAGTCAAATTTACTTAGCTTAGGTTCTTAAACTACAAAAAAGAAAAGTTAAAAAATTTGGAGCTATATTGTCAAGTGTTCTGAAGAAATCTATAGTAATGCGACATTTTATTTTCAGGCAGTGATTTAAATATGGCATGCATATATTGGGAGGAAAGCTAGGGTGTGGGATTAAATGATAACATATTTGATATAAAGTGGGAGTTGTCATGGTTGCTTTTTTGCCAATGATGGAGTGAGTGATAGTCAAAGTATTTTTTCTACTCACCCATAATATCCTCGTCTTCATAAGTAATTTGTATATCAATATTCTCTTTATTTTCTTCCTTCATGGATCCTATGTCAAAGTCCTCAAGATTAATAAATTCTCCATAGTCATCTCCTCTTACCTGAAATATATCAAATGAAGTATGCTAGCAGCAAGAAACAAAACTGCATCAAAGATTAAGCATATACTATACAGAGGGAATATATAAGACTGCATACCTCATAAGTTGGCCAGGCCAAACATATGTTCTAAAGGAGGGAGGGAATTATGATTGTAGGTTGTTAACCAACAGCCTGGGAACAATGTCATACATCATAAAACTGAGACAAAGCCTGATTAACCTAATCAATCCATCTACCATTATACAGTACTATCAAGCAAGACATAATCTTATGCTATTGTCCACAAGTATGTAATGCATAAAAGTTTTCAAATTAAGTCATGCAAGAGCCTCAAGCACTAGAATACAGACCAAGTGTAACATTATAATTCTTGCTCCCGGCCAAGTCCCAAAACAACATATGTGAATTCAAATAATACCTTTCACTTTTAGCAACCTAAGTCTTCCATGCAATACCTGAATACTCATACTATTGTCCATCTGTAATTTTTTTTTATCTCATTATAAGCCAATTTCTTGTCTCACCTTATCTTCATGGTAAGGAAACATGGGGTGATGTTTGCGACTGCGAAACATGCTTTGGGTGCCGGCTTTCTCGTGCAAAACAATGATATCATGCTTTCCAGCTTCAAGGCCTTCCTCACCTTCACTGTCACTTGATGATTCAACCCTAAGAATTAAAATTAATAACTTTGTTAGTCATATGACTAGCTAAATATATTGTACCTTGATAGATATACATACCTGGAACTATTATACTGTACATAAATAAGATTATTCTTTTCTTGTCAAAAACAATACAAAAACTCGCATTAATAGTGAAGAATAAAATAATGAACATTAAAAATAATTAAAAATTTAAAGAATAGCTCATAAAAAGTACACTAAAATCTTTCATTAATAGACCTCTCGTTAACCCTTTCAGGGTTGGTGCCGTACTAGTACAGCTTGCACGCCAGGGTTGGTGCCGTACTAGTACGCATAAATTCTAGCACCAAATCTAGCGAGAAAGCTGGTAGGCCTACATATGAAAGAATGGGTCTATGTGGTCAGTGTGCACAGTATAAAAAAAATCCTGCAGTACACAGTACATAATGAGAAAAAAAAACTCCAACTGTGTTATTGCTTTAAAACAGCGGCTTTGCAGTGTATTTTCGTATGGTATTTATGGTTGTATTCTAGTTTTTCTGGTCTCATTTTATAGAATGGAAGACATATTACAGAAATTGAGATGATTTTGATTGGTTTCACAATGAAAAGTACCTTGAAACTGAGCTCCAAGTAGCAGAAATGTTAGATTTTTGCCAAAGTTCAAAAGTAAACAAATCATGCCACACTTCCAATACACGTTTATAAAATAATGACTACATATATTCTTTCACAAGTGCGCTGATATTATTTATACCATTTCTACACTAATGCAGTAGTCTGCATAACAGTAAATCTTCTATTTTTTTCTGAGAATAAAAATTCAAAGTGGACAGCAAAAGAAATGTAAGAGAGGCTTGGGGACGTGACTAATGAACAGAAAAAAATTTATTTCAGTGCCAGGAATGTCTGTTTTGTTTATTCTGGACCCTATTTGGAAATTGGCATCTTTTGAAATTTGTGTGAAATTGGCAAAATTGCCAATTTCTGACCACTTTATTGAATAGTTGAAATTGGTAAATGGGTGGCTTCTTGTACTCATTTGATAGAAAAAATGGAGTTCTAGCAAAATAGTTATGATTTTTTTCCGACTGGTAGATTGGAATTGGCCAAAAATAGGGCTCAAAGTTGGCAAAATCGCCGATGCGTAAACATCGTCGAGACCGCTAACTTCGCGAGAGCATAATTCCGTACATTTTCCATCAAATTTCATACTTTTGGTGTCATTATGATCGGGAAAAGATTCTCTATCATTTCATAAGATTTTTTTTTTTTTCAAGAAATTTCCGACCCTGAGAACAAGTTTAGGAGAGGGCATGCCGACCCTGAAAGGGTTAATAAATTTCAGCAATTTCACACAAAAAAAAATTTCCACACAATGCTGGAAGCATCAGACCAAAAAAAGTCATACAAACAGGGGACTCCTGTAAGTAGAATTAAGCAAGCTTTACTTGTTACCTTACATGGTCATGAGACAGCAATTTTACCCGCATGTAAAATGGTTAACATACTTGCTTCACATTAATATAATAAGATAATGCCAGGAACAATAGGCTAGTAACCCCTTTTCCCAAACAGTTTACTAAAAAGAAAAAGAAGAAAACCATCAAAGTGGGATGTTTGAATGTGCGTGGATGTTGTGCAAATGATAAGAAAGAAATGATTGTGGATGCTATGAATGAGAAGCTGGATGTCCTAGCTTTAAGTGAAACAAAGCTGAAGGGGGTAGGAGAGTTTCAATGGAGAGAAATAAATGGGATTAGGTCAGGGGTTTCAAATAGAGCTAGAGCTAAAGAAGGGGTAGCAATAATGTTGAAGGATAAGTTATGGCAGAAAAAGAGGGAATATAAATGTATAAATACAAGGATTATGTGGAGTAAAAAAGGGTTGGATGTGAAAAGTGGGTTATAGTAAGCATTTATGCACCTGGAGAAGAGAAAAGTGTAGAGGAGAGAGAAAGAGATTTTGGGAAATGTTAAGTGAGTGCATGGGGAGTTTTGAGCCAAGTGAGAGAGTACTTTCACTTGGGGATCTCAATGCTAAAGCGGGTAAAAATGTTGTGGAGGGAGTAGTAGGTAAATTTGGGGTGCCAGGAGTAAATGAAAATGGGAAGCCTTTAACTGAGCTATGTGTAGAAAGAGGTTTGGTAATAAGTAATACATATTTTATGAAAAAGCGGATAAATAAGTATACAGTGAACCCCTAACATACAAAGTTCTCATCTAACGATAAAATCAACTTACGAAGCGTTTCAGTGTAAAAAATTTCCCCCGAAGTACGAACAAAACTCGACTTATATCATTCGTCCCGAACACGTCCATGCGTCCCGTCTGGCCTGAGCGCGCCTTAGCTGCCCTGCCTTCAGTTAGTGTGCCAATGTTTACAAGCCAGTGCGGTCGTTCCCACACAAGCATTCGGTACATTTTGTATTATTCCAGTGTTTTTAGTGCTTGTAACTACTAAATAAGCCACCATGGGCCCAAAGAAAGGTTCTAGTGCCAACCCTGTGGTAATAAGGCCAAAAATTACTATTGAAATGAAGAAAGAGATAATCACAAAATATGAGAATGGAGTACGTGTCTCTGAGCTGGTCAGGTTGTACAACAAACCCCAATCAGCCATCGCTAATACCTTGGCCAACAAAAAGGCAATCAAGGAAGCTGTTGTTGCAAAAGGTGCAAGTATCTTTTCGAAACACAGATCGCAAGTACTCGAAGATGTTGAGAGACTGTTATTGGTGTGGATAAATGAAAAACAGATATCAGGAGATAGCATCTCTCAAGCAATCATATGTGAAAAGGCAAGGCAGTTGCATGACAATTTAATTAAAAAAATGCCTGCAACTAGTGGTGATGTGAGTGAATTTAAGGCCAGCAAAGGTTGGTTTGAGAGATTTAAGAATCGTAGTGGCACACACAGTGTGATAAGGCATGATGAGACTGCCAGTTCGGACAAAAAAGCGGCTGAAAAATATGTGCAGGAATTCCAGGTGTACATAGAGGTTGAAGGATTGCAACCCCAAGAAGTGTTTAATTGTGATGAAACAGGCCTGTTTTGAAAGAAAATGCCAAACAGGACCTACATTACACAGGAGGAAAAAGCACTCCCAGGACACAAGCCTATGAAGGACAGGGTTACTTTAATGTTGTGTAGTAATGCTGGTGGGGATTGCAGAGTGAAGCCTCTATTTGTGTATCACCCTGAAACTCCCAGAGTGTTCAGGAAAAACAATGTCGTCAAGGCTAATTTGCGTGATGTGGAGGGCAAACACTAAGGCATGGGTCAGTAGGGACATTTTCTATGATTGGTTTTAGCAAGTGTTTGACCCCACTGTTAAAAATTACCTCCTGGAAAATAAATTGGACCTTAAGTGCCTCCTGGCATTAGACAATGCTCATCCTTCAGACTTGCCAGAGCAAATTTCGGGGGAGTTGAGTTTTATTAAAGTAAAGTTTTCGCCTCCTAATACCACTCCTCTCCTCCAGCCCATGGACCAGCAGGTCATTTCAAATTTCAAAAAACTGTACACCAAAGCTGTTTGAAAAGTGCTTTGAAGTGACCTCAGACACTCGAGTGACCCTAAGAGAGTTTTGAAAAAATCACTTTAGTATCCTCAATTGCATAAACCTTATAGGTAAGGCTTGGGAGGGAGTGACTATCAGGACCTTGAACTCTGCTTGGAGGAAATTGTGGCCACAATGTGTATAAGAGAGGGATTTAGAAGAATTTGGGGCTAACCCTAAGGAGTCTATGCCAGTTGTGGAATCTACTGTGGCATTGGAGAAGTCCATGGGGTTGGAGGTTAGTAGGGAGGATGTGGAAGAGTTGGTGGAGGACGACGATGAAGAACTAACCACTGATGAGCTGCAAGAGCATCTGCAACAACAAGAGGCCACAACTGAGGAAACTGCTTCAGAGGAGGGGAGAGAGAAATTGAGGAAACTGCCTTCTTCAAAGATTAAGGAAATGTGTGCAGAGTGGGTTGAACTGCAAGCCTTTATAGAAGAAAATCATCCTGACACAGCTATTGCAAGCCATGCTGGTGACTTTTACAATGACAATGTTGTTAACCACTTTAGGAAAATCTTAAAGGAACGTGAGGTACAGAGCTCTATGGACAGATTTTTGATGCGACAGAGGTCCAGTGACTCTCAAGTTGTTCCTAGTGGCATTAAAAGAAGAAGGAAAGTAACCCCAGAAAAGGACTTGCTACCTAAAGTCCTTATGGAAGGGGATTCCCCTTTCCAAAAATTAATACATTTCCATCTCCCCTCCTCCCATCTCATCACACAGCACTACATCTTCAATAAAGGTAAGTGTCATTTATTCTTCATTTAATACAGTATGTATATTGTGCATCTATCCTTCTTTTTGTGTGTAGGAAAATGTATATTTCATGTGTTAAATTTTTTTTTTTCATACTTTTGGATGTCTGGAACGGATTAATTGGATTTCCATTATTTATGAGGAAAATTAATTCGACTTACAATAATTTTGTCTAACAATGATCTCTCTGGAACGGATTAATATCGTAAGTCGGGGGTTCACTGTACAAGGTACGATATAGCACGTAATGAGAGTAGTTTGTTGGATTATGTATTGGGGGGTAGGCTACGGGATGTACATGTTTATAGAGGGGCAACGGATATTTAGGATCATTACACCTACCATCCGACTTACGACCTGCTCGACTTACGACCACTCGACTTACGACCGTGTTTTTTATGCCAAATTTCTGGGAAATAAACAACTATTTGTGTTGTACAAAGTGTTTATACTAAACCTTACAGTATAAAATACAGTAGTACTAACAACATAAAAAGTAAAGTAAAACATGAAATACCAAAATAAAACAATAAAATAAAGTCATTACAAAAATGTTTTGTTGATATTCAGTAGTAAAGTTCGACTTACGACCATTTCGACTTACGGCCAGTTTCTCAGAACCGAACTCGGTCGTAAGTTGGATGGTAGGTGTATTTAGTTGTAGCTACAGTAAGAGTAAGAGGTAGATGGGACAGA